CCAGAAGAAGCCAAGATGAGGTTTAAAGACAGAAGGGTTAGCAAGAACGAAAGAAAGCAGATAAAGAGTAGAAGACATTATGCCCCGACTGTACCTGGCATAATCTTCAAATCAATATCAGGCAGGAGATCTTCAGGCACACCTGAGAAACCTGGAGAGAGACAGAGCAAAGGTGACCAGAGCAGAGGAGAGCGGATGGAGCGGATCAAATCAAGCGATTGGTGTAATTAGGTAGAAGTATGCAAGCGTGCCATAAAGCATAAACACAGCAAAACGGGAAGAAAAAGAGGGAGAGAGAGAGAGAGGGAGAGAGAGCCGGCAGGTCAAGGAATAAAAAGTAGGACATGTTTTGTCTGGTTTCAGAAAACCAATATATCAGAGCTGCTGATGAGAGCAATCAGCACGTTGTTTCTGATTTTAAAGGCCTTAAAATGTCATCTGTCTGATAGTAGCACAGACTGAAACTCAAAATTATTCCCATGAAGATAAACAGGCAGAGAAAAAGGAAGAGCTGTAAACATCCCATATGTGAACATTTCTTCAGTTCGCAACAGGCAGCGAAAACGTTTTCTTAATAAGGATTCCCCCAAATCTGACCAACAGTCATCTCATCAGGTGTGAATGCACTTTGTACGTAACCTCAATAAATTGAAGTCTTTGTGTTTTTGATTGCAAAATTGCAAAGAGTTGCTGGTGCAAAGTGAACAGATAATGAGTATGATTTCTGTAAATAATGCACCTTTTGATGTTGGTAGGTGGAGAAATTTAAAACTTGTACATGTCACTAGCTGACCTGTAGGTTAGCTCTTCAAAATGTTCTTCTACCACAACATTACAGGCATCAGCTGAGGTACAATATGGAATACTAGAGGCAATTTTCAAAAAAAAAAAAAAATCTGGTTACAAAGTGCATATCATGAGTGCAGGGAAGCAAACTGCAGCTTTGTGAGAAGCGAAACCTCCCGGCACATGTCTGAGATGCAAACAGAACCTGGTATTTAACAGCTGAGGGTGTGAGTATTGGCGGAAAGGAGTATTTGCTGTGCCAGAAAAGAGGGCAGCAGAAACAACATGCAAGCTGAACGTGGCCTGACTCCAGCTGACAGCGCACATACCTCACTGAATACCTCTGTGGCAGGCTAAAACTGGTCTTCGGTGGATTTGAACACTATATTATAAATATACAATTTGTATTTCAGTTTTTTTCTTTTTTTAACCTGTTGCTTTGTTTTGTTTGTTGATTTGTTTTCTTGGTCACTTGGACTGACTGAAACCTGACGATTCCCTAAAATTGACTCCCAAGGAGGTTTAGATTGTTTTTGACCCCGTCCACGGTGGTGTTTATGAACCGCTTCCCTTCCTTTTTTCCGTTTCAAGAAGAAGAATAGAATAGAAGTGAGCTTGGATAAAAAATAAAAGGTGGAGAATGAAAGGAACTTCATGGTTTTAGAAGAAAACAAATCTTGTATCTTTCACCTTGATGTAATTTTAACCAGTTTTTAACTGGTTTACCCAAAGAGACCATATACCATATTAAATCTTGTGCAGTATTCGTAGTGTCTGGATACTGGGCCTTACTTTACAAAGCTCTGTAAATTATCAGTCAAGTGTCTATTGTATCGCTGTGCTCTGCTCTGCCTTCTCTGCATCATTAAATCTTCCCTGCCTTCTTTTCTGCGAGGCGATTTGCTGTAAAGACAAAAGACCCCCCGAGCGCGGCCTCCGCTGTTGTTATGGGAACACAACAAGCGCCTCGCATGGTGCAGTAGGTCAGGAAATACACACATTTTTGGGGCTATGGCGGATTTAGCTCAACACCTGACAACGAAGCAGGATTTTTTTCTTCTTGTGCTTTTAGTATTACATTACCTCATCTTTATCACAGTGGAGAACATTCCCGCAGCTTAGAGAAAGCTGTAGGAGCTGCGTTCTATGAGTCTGTCCAATACCAACCAAATAAAAGTTCAGCCTCTGGAAGCTGGAGGCACGGAACGGTCCAAAAATGTTTCTTGGCAGTCTTTGTGATAATGTTTGCCACTGAACACACACAAAAACACACACACACACACACACACACACACACACACACACACACACTCGGCATATTAATTTTAAATGTATTTCAAAGACCGTGAAACTGAATGCAGTTGTTGTAGCTTCAAATGAAGGAAGAACTTCTTGGTGTAAATCAGCTCCTCAATAACTCTGAGTGGCTCATTTTAAAGGTTCTGTTATGCAGAAAAGTCCAGTGTAAAAGCTCGTTTCACAGTAAACAGGATGCCACTTGAAAATCTGCATCAGAAAACATTTTAAAAATGACTGTCAAAGTGGTCACAAAGAATACAATCCAAAAATCTAAAACCATCTATTGAATCGGTGACACCGTTCCAACTGGTATTTCAAGTTAATTTAACAATTATGGATTACCTGACAATATTTACAAATATATATTTTTTAAAGATCACAAGTTCCTATTTGTTGTTGAAATTCTTTTCATCAAAATGTGATGAAAGAAGCAACAGGAAAGCAGAAATAGCTCACCAAGAACCAGCAGCTCCACCGAAGCTTCATTCTGTCCTTCTATGTCATCAGCTATGGTCACTTGGCAGAAGTACACACCGCTGTCTCCCCACTGGACCTCTCCGATACGCAGATCTGCCGCTGCATGAAAAATTAAGACACAATTTAAAGGCAGCTATTCTTTTTTTTTTTCTTAATCAAACAACCTCTAAAATAAGTGCGTTCTGGATTACTCTGAAATGAAGTGTTTTTAAATTCATTCAATCAATTGATAGTCAAAAGCTCATGAAGCATGAACAGCTAAAATGGCAGTGAGAGAAATGTAGTTGTAAAGAACGTTACTTCTGCAAAAGTAATTATTTCTGTGAACTAAACACGATTACAGGAATTCAACAAGTATTTCCCAGTTCTAGAGGGGCGGTTAGATTTTAATTTGTGTGATTAAAATGTGATTCATAGAACTGAAACATCATTGGCTTGCTGACAATCCTGGGTCTCCAACTCTATTGTAAGAGGGTCACATGCATAAATACTTCAGACAGGAAACACTTTGTAGAATTCCCTTCCTTTTCCTGTTGGCCAAGGAAAGACAAGCTGGGACCAGTCTCCGATTCACTTATAAAATCTGAGTATTTACGTCGCCTTTGGGTTTGTGGATTAACTTTTAACCTAATGTATGACTGCATCATCTCAGCCGTGTGTATGAACCGTGAAGTGTGGAGCTCGTTAGCCATGTGATTACCAGAGCACCCCCTGCCCAGAGCCCACTCAGAGAGACTCCAGCCTCCCGGCGACCCTGAATAGGATTACATGGGTATGGATGACTGGACATCTCCAAAGGCAACAAAGGATTTTACGTTTTTTTTGTTTTTTTGGGGGGAGATTTGCCGGTTTACAACATCACTACTCTGAAAAGTAAGACAGGAGGTGGAGTGGGACAAAGAAAAGAGTGTGATGTTGAGAGGGGGAAAAAATTAAAACTTGGACACAGAAATACATCAGAGGGAACAAACCAGAGGTCAAGATGAATGGAGGGACAGTGTGAAAGCCTTTTCTTTTGTCCAAAAATCCTGGCTCAAGAAGAGAGTTAGAGCTCCATAAATCTAAGACCAGCAAACAAGCCCACCTCTCTTTGCTCAATGAGCCTTTTCAGACACACATGCATAAGAACAGTCTGTCCCTTTAGTTAGTCTTTGAAGGACATGATGGCAATACAGCGACACAAAGGGAAAAGTAAGGGCAGTGGAGTGGCATGTTTGCATCGAGAGTTTGCATCCACAGCTGAAACATCACCAGGCAACAACAACGACCGTCTCAGGGTGATCACGGTATGAGAGGATGGGTTTCGACGACAGACATCTGCAGAATGGGGAGGAACGTCTTACTGTTGATGATGGTAACATCTCTGTTCTTGTAGTACTCTGAGAGCGTGACCGAGGACCCGGATATGGAGGCCACGGTCCTGACGGTCCTCCTGCTGTCAGAGCAGTCGAGGTGGCTCGCAGTAGAGCCCGCCTCGTAGCCGCCGCCGCCGACCCCTCCGCTTCCGCTCTGCAGCCTGCCTGCGCCCAAGCTGTCGGGGAGGCTGAACGAGTCCCTCGTGCGGTCCCGGCAGTACGACTTGTAGATCCACTTCACCATAGCGGGCTGAGTGGAAACACTGGTGTACTGGCAAGGCAGAACCACTGACTGGAACAGAGTAGCGTACCTCTTCTCATCTCTCACCATCACATGGAGGCCTGAGCCTGGAGGAGGGATGACTCCTGTGAGGGAAGAAACAAGATGGGCTGGTGGACTGAGGAAGCTGGGATGGTTAAAAGAATAATGTGATTGTACGTTTACAGAACGTAGAGCATAATCACTAGCAAACTAGTAAATCAGCTTGAAAATATACTCCGGTGCTAAGAACTCACATCTTCTAGTAATTATCAATAGTTTTCCAGGATTTTTGATGGTCTTTCAAATGTCTTCAGATTAAGTTGTAATAATTGCGTTAATGACAGGGAGTTAATACTTGAACTTAGTTGCCAAAATTATCTTTAAGTCAGAGTTCAGAATAAAAACATTATCTCTAATGTATCTGAACTGCAAAGATGAATAAGAAGGCAACAAAAGCCCAAAGAAAACCCCTTGAAAACCTAGACAATTATGAATCAAAGATGTTTAAAGTGAGTACAGGAAAATATTGCTGATTGGGAGTAAGAAATGCATAAATCTGGACACATTTTGACTAATAGATGTTGCAACTGTTTGAGCTGCTTGTGTTCGCAGAAACCCAACAGAGCTTTGCTGACCCGCTGGTCACTTTGCAGCTTCTGAAGCAGTGGGGGGCGGGGGAGAGGGAGCGTTCGACCCACAGCACAACACGAAGACTACGCTAAAAATTCTGGGAACTACAGTGAAGCAATAATATGAGGGAAAAAAAAGAAAAAGAACCAATAAAGCACACACACCCAGGAACATCTGTGCCTGCTGTTCTGTGAATATTTTCGATTTGTGAGGCCAGGATATAGGGGGCAAAATGACTGTGGGCTGAAAGGAGAGGAGGGGGTGTGAAAACAGATCGTCTGAGGCAATCCGACATAGGTGATAGTGTCTTCTCTCACATTAAAGAATCAGTTAAATTTACTCTCTTATATTACCTTATAACCTAAGACTATGAAAGACCTGGAGAGATTGTGCAAAGAAGAAAATCCATCTCACTGTATTCGTTATCATGATGGGCTTCCTTATGATATAAGTGTTGTCCAAGGAGGTTGTAAAAAATATTAGGAACAAAAGAGAATAGACTCTTATTTAGTTGGATAATTGCAACTAAACCACATGCCATTTACGGTTGGATTTTTCATTCAGGAATTAAACTACTGCAAGTGGCTTAGCAGGTAGTTTATATCTTGGGGGTTCCCATATCATTTAGTATTAATTACATTATGTTATTACAAGGGAAAACCATGTACACTCTGTTCTTAAAATGAAAAATAGCCTGATAAAACATATAAAACACATTGATTCTCTTATCAAGTTATATAACTGATAAACACTGAGCGTCTAAAAACTTTAGCTCCGAGTTGTGGTACTATCCTGGATTTATTAGTTTTCAGCAAAGGATTACTGGGAGTGTTTTGGATGTTTGTATTAAGGTCATGTGAGGAAATACTGAATGTTTTTTGCTGTCTTGGATCAAACCCGTCTCACTTCAGAAAGATTTAAACACTTGACAAATTGATTCAATAATCAATACCAGTTCAAGAAATTAGTTAAACCGCTGTTTGCTTTCTATGTTGTGGTCCATTTTTCCCCCCCTTAACTTTATCTGGCCCCAAAATATTAAGGAAAAATTCATCTCTTTCAGACCTGTAGCATAATAACATAACCCCCCCAAATAGAAAAGGTATATTTTTCCGCAGAAAATAAATGAAAAACACAGAAGATTTAAGGTTTTTGATTGCTATTGTCAGTTTCAGACTGTTGCCACTATAAGCAAGAAAACTTATGAAGATTACATCACAACTATTACCATACTTTTCTAATTTAATTTCTATAATTTGATGAATAATACTTTTTAATCCTTTTTATAAAGCTCTGTTCATATTTGGTCACATTTTCTATGTATTTTTAATGTGCTGTCATATATTTCCTCCAAACAAGTAGAGGTCAGCTCCTTTCTCCGAAAAATCCAGTTAAAATGTAGCCTATCTGAAAAAAAAAAAAATCCTGATCCCAACCCCCAAAGCTTCTAACCCGGATCATTACACATTATTTAATCCGACACAAACAGCCTTGGCATAAAGAAAAACAGCTAAACTGGCCCCAAACCTCAGTACCCTTAACTAAAACCTGCCTTTGACAGTCTTTCCGAAGGCTGGATCACTTTTTCCTTAAGTTTCTGCTCAGCCTACCTGCCAGAAAAAGGATGAAAATCCGCCACATTTCGGTAAAAATCAGCTTCCAGATCCCTGTGGTAAATATTATGAATATCGCAAGATAAGAACTTTGTTTTGTTTCCTCCTCCGTCTCATCCCTGGATGATGGTACAGGGTCGTGGAGACAGTTTATAACGGGACAACAGCGCCCAAGAGGACATCCGTCAAGGTTGGTGAAGTTCAACACTTTCCGGCTTTCGACTTTTCACAATAAAGTAATCACTGACGCAAACGCTTGGTTAAAAAAGTAGCTAATCGTGGAAAATAATAAGTACTCGTGTAGCTATGGGCTTTAATTATAAAGATTAAATTGTGGGATTTCAAAATTGTCCTTAACATAGATTGTTTAGGACTAGCCTGCAGCACACTTTCCCTTTCTGATCTGAATCTGTTTTACTTTAATTTGAAGATAAAGCTCAACCTGCACATTCCATAGACTGCGCAAAAATACTTGTGTAAAAAATAAAAGTAGAACAAAACACCTTTATTTTATTTTGAAATTGTGAAAAACGTTCTTCCTCAGTAGATAAGAGGCAGCTTGGTGCAGCAGGTTGTGAGGCGTCAGGACGCTCCCCCAGTGTGTTCACAGACAAAAGATGTTGGGAGAGACGGAGGGATGTGAAAATGTATAGATTGAATCCTGACAACGTGGGTAAGTAACTGAATCAATAAATGAACTATATAGAAGTTAGACATGTGTAGAAAAGTCTGCAAAATGAACTTGAAATTATCTCACCAAGGGGGAAAAACAAACCACTAAAAACTAAACGGATAAAACCTAACCTAGCTAAATGTCCCACTATTTATTTATCGTTTAATGTTTAATTTGTACATAAAATGTGTTTATATCCGTTTTTGATTTAATGGCAAAATTCACACTGCATTAGTAAATATCTGGAAAAATAAATACAATGGCCATTTTTCACTTTGCACATTTGGTTGTTTTCAAACCACTTACTTTCTATAGATGCAATATCAGTTTGTGACAGGATTTTAAAATGTCATGTTTATTTTGTGGAACAAACTCCTCAAATTTTTCCAAGAGAAATCTTGAATAAATGTTAACAGCAAAACAGTACAGCAGGTGAAATATCAATTTAAAAATGTACATCACACATTCAGATAGAAATTATTTTTGTACATCGAGTTTTGTAGTAAAGGTTTATTATAACAGAAAGAAAATAGGACGAGCATCATTAAACCAACAACCAGTATAAGACAAAGTTAAATTTTAACATTATTGTGGTTAAAAAAAGAACATTTGACAGATTATTACACTTATATACAGTGATACACTATTAGCCTTGTGCAAAATAAACCAAGTAAGCATAAAAAAAGCACCAAGATAAAAGACATAATCTCTGCCGAGGAGGTAGTCTTTTAAATAACTACAGCTTGGAAATGACTAATATTTATACCCAGCAGAAGCAGATGTTTAAAGGTACTACAAAAGATAAAAGGAAAAAGTATCCAAAAAAGAAAAACACACTACAATACCAGTTAATCTAATTGAATAGATCATCTTGCACACATTTGGCAGCATTTCATGACAGCCTTTGTATTTGTACAAAACAAAATCTCTGACTGGAATGTGATCCAACATAAACAACTTAAAATATAACAATGTAAATGTAAAAATGGAAACAGTCTTTATAAAAATAAAAACACATTACATACACACACACATTTATATATATATATATATATATATATATATATATATATATATATATATATATATATATATATATCAGAAAGAACAATTTAAGCATCAAAGCATATTTACATTCCATTTCTAAGGAGGATCATTTTTCAAAGTACACCTGATATTTAACATAAAATCCTGTGAAGACTACAATTTACTATAATTAGCTCAACATGTATTAGGAACTTGTTAGGCACTTTAAATAATATGCAGTAATCCTAAAAATATACATTTTATGTGGTGGGTATGTGAAATGTTGTCCACCTCCTAATGTGTTTATTATCTGGATTTGGCATACAGATATAATAAATATTTGGTATCATTTAAAAGCGCAGTATTATGCATTTTCCAGGTACATGGTGCCATTTTATAGCACAATGTTTTTACCAGCATTGCACTGAGCTCATTATAACTTGTATAACGAGCTCAGCAGATGCACAGTTCTATTAGGTGTTTGCCAATTTCTGCTGGCTAGTCTGAAGGAGCTGAGCGGCGGGTGTCGTGCCCTGTGAGGTGGAAGCTTGGAAGCTGCAGCTCTGAGTAGGAGCTGCGCCTCGTATATGGGGCTCGGTCCACCCTGGTATTTTGCACAGCTGAATGGTCGTCATGGAGACTAAAGGATTTTGGAAGAATCAAGGCAACACCCCAGGTATGTTTTTGATGAGGGAATAACATTATGACATGATGTAAAGCTAAAACAAAGTTGATTTTACACAATAATGCCTCTTTAAAAACTACATTTCAAAACAGTCTGGACAACACGTTGTAATTTGCAACAAGATGTTCTGGTCCATTTCCTCTTCCCGTACGATATTTGATAATTGAACAATCCAAAGCGTCTATATCATGTTTTAAAATCTTAGGAAAAATTCCAATGGGGAATAATTTGTTCATTTGGGTTAAAAAACCCCAAAAACATATATAACTGTTAAACAAATGGGTGATTTAAAACACATTAACTGGGTTACCCTAGTCATTGCATACCAGTTTCTCTATGGTCTGTTGCGGTCATCATCATAGCGGGGGTCTCTGCGATCATTGTAGCGTCGCTCATCATCATAGTGGCGGTCATCATCATAGCGCTCATTGCGGTCACTGGGTTTGCTGCGACGGTCATTGTAGTCGCTGCGCCGGTCGTTATAGTCACTACGACGGTCATCGTAGTCGCTGCGCCGGTCGTTGTAGTCGCTACGACGGTCGTCATAGTCACTGCGCCGGTCATTATAGTCGCTGCGCCGGTCATCATAGTCGCTTCGGCGGTCATCATAGTCGCTTCGGCGGTCATCATAGTCGCTTCGGCGGTCGTAGTTGCGTTCACTCCTCTCCTCGTAGTCATCACGTGGGTTAGCTGTTTTGTTCGCACTGGAATCGTCAAAATGTTTGCTCTTCTCTCCATCACCAGAGCGACTCTCTCCATTTCGAACAGACTCTTCGTCACCAACTCTGGAAATTAGACAACAGTCAGACACTTAGGGTGAGGGAATAAGCTCCTTTATCAGTCCACAAAAAGATGAGCTAGACAAAGCTGGTTGTACTTTTGAAGAAAAAAAAGTAGCAAATGTATCCTTGTAATTTTGTAAAACCTTAAAAAAAATCTGATACACAAATGGAAAATAAACATACCATCTAGTTGTGAAGGCAAAAAGGTTTATTATAATCACTGGTAAATGTATAAAGCTATATTTATTGCTAGCCAGGCTTTGCTTTGTACAGAGGGTCTGGACCCTCTGCTATTGAGAACCAATTGCTTTCTGGAACCATGGACTCCAGAGAGCAGAATTTAAATTTTACAGCTTTTAAGTTTTACTAAATCACTAACGTTTGGCTGTGAAATATGAAATGCACCAGTTTGATACTATAAAGCTTACCAGAAATTGCCTGAACTGCAAAAAACTATCCCTCACTGCTAAGAGAGATGTGCTGAGCTGAACTAGATGGCTGTTAATGTTAATTCAATATTTGGAAGGACGACCAACATGAACTCAATAGCTTTGTTCACTTCCTCCTCTGCCATTTCCAAACTAAAAGCATACTACAATTCTAAAACAGCATGAAAATCAACCTTACTGTCTACAACTACTTCTTCTGCTTACTGATTGGCCCAATTGAAATTCTACCAGAGAAATCAACTTCAATGGCAGAAAGACTGGAAAGCTGAAGGGAGATGAGAATCAAGCGGAATAGCAAAGGAAGACAATTGCCAGGCAAACTAAAAGCTTGTAGCGTACTCTTCCTGTGAAATTATAATTTCTTTCAATATTCTCCATTTTTGCCACAGTTAATTCCTATTAATCAAGATGTACAAATGTTTCCTGTCAAAATATCTTTATAGTTATAAGCTGATTTTCTTGCAAGCTTGAATGCCTTGATGTGAGCAGCTCACATATTCAACCTCAAACAGAGACAAATTTCAGCCTTAGCCCAGGACAGTTGAGAACCTTGTCCATCATTTTAGATTTGCATTGTTTTATAACTAGCATGTTTCGTTTAGAGCTAGAACGTGGGAGAAATAATAAAAACAACAACAAAAAAACATTACGGTGCCATGGCATAATTCTCCTTGTCGTCATCCTTCTTTCGGCAGCAACAGCAATAGATAACGATCAGTAAGATCAAAGCTGCGACGCCTGCTCCAATGATTGCTGCGATTGAACCGATGCTCATCATGGATGCTGCATAAATCAGAGAAGATGAGTTGAAACAACAACGCACAGGAGAATTAAATGCTGCAGCGATCAGATCTGTTAGAAGGTCATATTACGTGGCAAGACTGTGACTGTCAGGTTGCAGGAAGCTGAGCGAATCTTGTTGGCTGAGGTGCAGATGTAGAATCCGGAGGTCTCTTTGGTGAGGTTGTACAGAAACAGGGTGCCTTCCTCTGAAAGACAAGAACAAATACAACAAATGACGATGTATACTGAAGTTATTACTTATATGTAAGGGTGCACAACATCATATAAACATGTCGTATTACTTCTAAAAATCTGGGACGACGACATCTGTTCCAATCAACCTACAATACTCTAATAAAAATATAGTGCACTGATGCAGAGGGGTGTAATGGTTCCTTATCTGTGTCTATGAGAGAAGTGTTAAAAAGTTGTCATAATATGTAATTGCAAACTGTTTGCATTTTTCTTCCATGTTTTACTTTCATTAACTAAAATACAAAGTTTTCAACCTAATATGTAATTTTGGATCACTGCATGTTGCTGACTTAGAGCTCAAAATGATCTGGGAATCGATTTTGTGCTGCTTCTATGTTTTAAGGTTGGAAGGTCTCATTGTCATAATCTTTAACTCTTTCATATTCAAATCAGGGCTCTGGATGTGCTGTTACAAACAGAAGAAACATGTTGCTAAAATTACTAGATTACTTTAAACGTAAATCTTTCAGGATGAGTAAATTTGGACTTTAATTGATTTCACCCTGATTGTCTGTTTACAGTGATGATTTCTTGAAGAAAAAAATATTAACAAAAGATAAACATCAAATCAATTTTGGGAGAATCTTGTTTTTTTATCAGGTCCACAATTGTTTTGCAGAGGTTTACTCTCCTAGCTTCTGTGTGTCCCAAATACTTACTTTCAGTGGTTTTGGGGGGGAAAGCACCAGAATTGTTTTGGACATCATATCTGTTCCACTTGTATGTTGGAGGAGGAGACCCTTCCTCAGAAACACAGGTGAGGCTGACGTTTTGGCCGTACGATGCTGTACCCTCAATCTTGCAGATGGGTTTAGATGGAGCCACTTGAAAAAATTGAAAGGATAAAGAGAGTGGTATGATTTGTCTTTGAGAAATCATTTTTAAAGACAATTAAAATTTTATTTTCCATGCATAGCACATTGGAACTATTAAAAATAATAATAACAAAAATAGGTGAAGTTAAACTATCTCCCAGAATGCAAATTAAGTTTTACCTAGAACAGTCAATGTTGTTGTGTCAGCATCTTTGCCTACATTATCCTTGGGGTTCTGGACTTGACACTCATATTTTTTGTTGTCTGCCGTTGTGATGGAGGACAGCTTAAGGTCAGCTTTCCCAGTACCACCATTAACATTTGCATCCACAGACACCCGACCCTCGTACTCTGGTTTAATGTCTGTGACTCCATTGGGATGATAGTGGGTGATTATCACATTCTGTAGAGAATCACAGCATTAGAGAAATATGTCGATTGATTCAAATGAAAAACAGACAGAGAGATACTTACTTCACCAATAGACCATGAGACAACGGCCAGTATTGGATTGCTGAGAGCGCTTTGAAATGTGCAGGGCAGTGTGATGTTGTCCCCTCTGGCGAACTCATACTGATCCTGGGGGATGTCAACCTTAATGCCAGCAACAGCTGACCACACTGTAATAAATTAAAAAGATGGTCACTCCATTGATCATGTGATTATCTGTTGTTGAATAAACAGCAACAATGCTCAACACTGTAGCTCCTCATTAGGCCTCAGCAGTTGCTTCTGAATTTACAAAAACACCAAACCACAATTTTAGTCAACCATTTATTTTTCGTGTTGATTTGCTTTAAATTATTTAACGTAAAAAAAAAAAAATTTGAAACAAGGGCGCAACCACATGTCGCCATCGCTGTATGTCTACCCGCCTTCCTGTCTGTCAAATGTCAAATAAAGGCCTCTAGAGCCAACTAAGTCCCTTTAAAAGAAGGAACAAGTGCATCATAAGAGCGTGCAATGGACTACTTTTCCAAAATGATCGACAAAAATGCTAATTTCAAAATGTCATTCAAATTCCAAAATACTTCATTGATCAAATAGCGAAATTAAATAAATTTGACAATAATGCCAAACGTATTCGTTAAACCGTTTAACAAAATGGTTTTTGGACAAACCATCGCCGTTAAAGTAAAATCTTGCATGTTTTAAACAAGGCCAAAGGCTTTGAATATGATCTGCTGGGCCTTGTGTTTTAAAATGTTGATTCTTAGAGCTGCTACTTGACACAATGGTTTTCGTAAAACTGTTGGGGGAAGAAGAAAATTAAGTAAAAAAAGAAAAAAAAAGTACAGAGAGCAGGTCCTATGTTCTATTCTTTTTCTTGTCTTCAGAAAGTTGATCCTGAAGGTGCGCAAACAGGTGTGGTCATTAGCTAACACAAGGAAACAAGCAAATTCCCATTTACGAATACTCACCCACACAAAGCAGGGCCAATGTAGAAGTTCTCCTTTCCATGGCAAAGGTGGTAATTTAATCAAACCAAACTCACGGTTCTATTTTCTTAAATCAAATAAGAAAAGCGGGTAGCCGAACGCCCAGGCTTTCATTTACATCGAAACCTGAAGACTCCCAACAGTGATCAGCTCGATGGGTGAGTCTGCTGCCCCGATTTGACTGACGGCTTTCTCGGCCAATCACTACACAGCCTGCTCTGTAGGTGACTCTTTTGTCCCGCCCACCGCGCAGGTTTCTGCTTGTTCTGACGTTTACCAGGGTAGTTTGTCGGGAATCCTCGTTAAAGAAACCTCGTTTCTACGAAATGGTTGAAAGCAGGGGAACATATTATTCTTTTTCACGTTTCTCTCTCACTCATTTGGTAAAGATATTCAGCTTTGAGAACTGTGAGCACGGCGTTGCTTCTTAATGCTCTCCATAATTTTAACAGAAATGTGTTTTCTTCCCTCATCTTGCAAGAATAGCCTTAATAATGTTGTAAGACAGACAGATATTAGGAGCCTTAGAAGACTGATTAGCAGACGGTATTGCGGCCATAGCATAATGTGTGCGACTGAGAAACAGAAGTTTTTTGTTTCTTCCGGTCAGACTGGTTTGGCAGGTTAAACAAAATGACTCAGGTGTGCCAGAACAGACACAGTAAAACAGGAAGGAAGAATTTAAAAGAATGCGGTCTCTGGTTTTGATATCTGTAAAGAATATTTCTAAATATTACACAGTTGCTATACGTGTGATGAGTTCAATCTTTTCTTTTCTCTCTTTTTTTTAATGAAAAAGGCTCAATTTTTATTTTATTTTTTATTTTATTGAATCATCAGTGTTCATCTGAAGGCTTCGATAACCATAAGACACGGAAATAAACAACTACATGTTGATTTGGTTTTACATAATAATTTCAATAATATGAATGACTTTCCACAGCCTGTCTGATGAACACGATTAATATCTAACAGAGTAGATGACTGTTAGATATTAACAGGTTAGGGAAAATTAGGGCTGTAGCGAGTGCTGCACCGCCCCCTGGTGGAGCTTAATAGACGTGCAATTAAAATGTTAGAACAATCTGAAAGAAAAATATTTAAGTGGGCTAATACGGATCTGTCTCGAGTTCTTTTATATGTAGCAGTATTTAGACAGCAGTTCGCAAGTGATAGAGTGTTCTTGGAAAACAAATTTCACATTTAAGTACAAAATCATAGCAAAAATCAGAATCATGGGCCAACAAAGAATTGGAAAGAGATTTATTTACCACAAGCTGTTTGTCTTTATGAATCAATTAACGATTAAACATTTCTTTAGTTTTTTTCCTGTTTGTTTCAAAAGTTAGGCTTTGCATTTAATTTAGCAAGAAATAAAATACCCAGTTATGAATGAATATTGAAATTCTATATGCTATGGGGAAAGTGATTGATATATTGTCAATTTTTCAAGTTTTCCCAGTTACAAAGAAAGGAGGGTTCTGTAATGTTCACTGTCAGTACCACTGAGAGACAGAATCTAAAAAAAAAAAACAGAAAAAAATTACATTGTATAATTTTTAAAAAAAAAATTGCATTTTATTGCAATCAATATCTGTTTAAAAAAATATAGCACTTCACATTTGATGCAAAAACCTTTGTTTACAATTACAGAGGTCAGATGTTTCCTATAGATCTTATACACCTTCGTATAAATTTGACTTTCTGAAATGAGTGACAAAGTATATTGAACTTTTCCAAAAGGTTCTAATTTTTTTTTAGCTGATATTGTGTGTGTCCCTTTATTTCACAACCAATAACTGTAAAGGGAGGTGTGCATGAAACCCCTTTTTGCACAAAATAGGTCAAATTTAAGGTTTGCCATCTCTAAAAAGATAATTTATTGCAATTGAATCTAATTACAATCTACTTAGACTCATTACAATCAATGCTGTCAAATTATCATGCAACAAAAAGGACTTCATAAAAGGTTTTCAAATGATCTGACTGACAACTTGAGTACTACTTCTTTGTCTGTTTAGCTTTAGCATTAACTTTGGTCCTCCAGGCCAGCAAAGCCTGTGTGTGCCAGTTTTGCACATGAACTCTGTGGTTTCTGTAAATACATTATTTGTGAAGAAGTTAAATGAGTGTGTTTTGACTGATATGAGCTCACATGACTGACACCTGGTCCTGAGCAGAAAGCTGCAGAGGACAACCACAGACAGATTAAAAACTGAAACAACAGATTGAAATGGTGGATTGAAAGCAGAAACACAACAATTCAAGAATAAATCCTACGTTTAGAACTGCATGTGAACGCCTGTGCTTAAGGTTCGTTTCTCGTGTTCAGATGATAGGTGAGCGTGAAAAGCGGAAGAACATAAGTGAAACTGGCAGAATGTAAAAAACTGATCACATTATTCACTATCATGGCTCTTTGTGGTTTGCTTATTCATAATTTTCTTGCAACTGTGCAAATTTTGTTTTTTTGTGCAGTACTGTGGTACTTGATCTTTCTAAAAAAAATAAAATAAAAAAAACAACTTCCTGTTGCTTTGAGTTATGTTTCTTTTCTGTCTGTACTAATTCTGTCAACTTACGACTGAACTGCATCGTTACTTTATCATCTAACGCCACTGTAATCCCACACTGGACATCTAAATCTGTTCTAATGTCTTATTTATATTTCTTCATGAGATTGTCTATGTCTTTTAAGGTTGGAAATACTGGAGTAGTAGTAGACATGATGACACAGCTGGTGCAAAATGTATTTCCAAACTCGCCAAAACAAACTATTTATTTTTTTTATTTTTGCAAGCACTTGACAGAAGAAACTGGTTAACACTGTTAAAAACAGGAGAGAATTTTATTTAATTATTTTATTTTTAATTTGCTTAGTTCACTTTAATTATAGAGCACCAATTGTCAACAAATCGTACAGCACCCCAAAGGGCAAGCAAGTCTTACTCATATCCAGAAATCTATCATCAAATCAATACAGTACATTCAATCATAAATATAGATTCATTGTTATACGTACATTCCACTTTGAATATAAATTTACGAAATTATACAGATAACTTCAGGTTATGGGGTCAACTGAGGGATTTGAAGAAGGGAGAACAAACTCAGAATCACTGCAGGACTTTCTATATTCAACAACAACAACAAAAAAAACTCATGGCAGTTTTTCTTGGCATTATTTTGTCATTCATATTGACTGTGCAGAAAAATCTTGAAAACTTCCCCAAATGTTCAGAATTTTGAGCAAAAACAGTAACATGGTATAAAAAAAGATCACATAAAGAGCAATCAAAACTGTAACAAATAAACAGAGAGAAGAATGCAAATGCTTTGTAATGAAAATGATGAAAGAAAACAAAAAAATATTCATTAGTATTATTTATTTAATAATACCAATAAATGAACAACTGAAGAATAACTAAACTTTTATTTTAATCTGAATAAAATGAATTGAGCTGACCAGTGAACAGTGCCAAATAAAAGATAGAAATATTTTGAATTTCTGGTATATTCACAATATTTAGCAGATTAAAATAATACAATAGCTTAAGATAGTATTTGGACACTAGGATTCAATCAATCCAAATATATTTATGTCAGCTATGCATACTGATAAAGAGGGTTTCCGCTGGCCTGGAACTGAACAAGACATATGTGGTATTTGTTGACTGATGTGCCATTTAAGGTTTTATGTGAACCCCACATACTAAGTGTAACTCCCCAACAGCTCATAAGTAGACAAAGTGAATTTACTAAAGCATGTTTCACGGACAAAACCTTTACAAAGCGCAGTACAGAAAATGTATATAAATTTTGCAGCTCAAGTGTTCTGCTAACTGCTTCTTGTGTCAAGAAAATACAAGTAGATTGGACCGAGGAGAATTTACAGAGATTTTTTTTAGATCCATTCCTCTCCTACATCTTATACAATTCAGATTGTTAAAGCCATGAACAGAAACAATAATAAAGAACTGCTTTAGGGTCTGGTGGGAAATACTTCAGCCTGATCTGCAGAACAGTCAGGGGTGGGAGAGGTTTGGAGAAGAGCTGGACAAATATATGATCACTGTGATCATATATTGATAGACAATATATGATCACTGTGAGCATGAGCCTGTTTGCATTAGGACCAGAGCCCCATAACACCAATTGAAATCCCCAAGTCAAGAGATAACACAAATTTGATTTTACAAATACCAGAAATATAAAATTTTTTCTGTTGTATGAAAACAAAACTAATTCATGGATCTGTTAAACTGAGTTCTGTGACAATTTAAAGGTCTTGGGTTTTGTTTAGAGCTAAAGGGTGGGAAAAAATGCATTTATAATGGTGCCATGGCATAATTCTCCTTGTCGTTGTCCTTCTTTCGGCAGCAACAGCAATAGATAATAACGATCAGTAAGATCAAAGCTGCAACGGCTCCTCTAATGATTCCTGCGGTTGAACCGATGTTCATCATGGATGCTGCATAAGTCAGAGAAGATAAGATGAAATAACAACGCACAGGAGAATTAATCGCTGCATGATCAGATCTGTTAGAAGGTCATATTACGTGGCAAAACTGTGACTGTGAGGTTGCAGGAAGTTGAGTGAATCTTGTTGGCTGAGGTGCAGATGTAGAAACCGGAGGTCTCTGTGGTGAGGTTGTACAGAAACAGGGTGCCTTCCTCTGAAAGACAAGACCAAATACAACAAATAATGATGTATACTGAAGTTATTACTTATATGTAAGGGTGCACAACATCATAGAAACATGTCGTATTACTTCTAAAAATCTGGGACGACGACATCTGTTCCAATCAACCTACAATACATTTCATAAACCAATAGTGCATTGGTGCCGACGAGTGTAATGTTTCCTTATCTGTGTCTAGGAGAATAACTCATCCCAAAATTTGTACAAGCAGCTACTGTTTTGTAAACAGCTAACTAGTTAAAACATTAACTAAGATACAATCTCATTTGATTGCACTACTGCATATTGAAGTACTAACTCATGAGTAGAAATCATTATGAGCAGTGATAAAAAGCTGTCATAACATATATTTGCTAACTGATTGCATTTTTCCTCCATGTTTTACTTTCATTAATTAAAATACAAACAATTCTTAGCATAGTATGTAATTTTGGATCACTGCATGTAGCTTCAAACTGCTGACTTAGAGCCCAAAATGATCTGGGAATCAATTTTTTGTTTCTTTGATGGTCTGAGGTTGGAAGGCTTCAATGTCCTAATCTTTAGCGCATTCAGATTCAAGTCAGGACTCTGGATGTGCCACTTCAAATTTTAACCTTGACTGGTTTCACTTTCTCCAAATTCACACTGAATTGTCTGTTGATAATTTCACAAGAAAAAAAAAACTATTGACAAAAGTTAAAGTTCAAAAACTTTTTGGGAGAATGTCTTGTTTCTTTCTTTGAAACAAGATAGTCTTGTATAAATTGCCCTGCAAAACTCAATTGTGAACGGCAAAACTCAAGTCCACAACGGTTTATTCTCCTTTGTGTTTTTGTAGTTTCTGTGTGTCCCAAATACTTACTTTCAGTGGTTTTGGGGGGGAAAGCACCAGAATTGTTTTGGACATCATATCTGTTCCACTTGTATGTTGGAGGAGGAGACCCTTCCTCAGAAACACAGGTGAGGCTGACGTTTTGGCCGTACGATGCTGTACCCTCAATCTTGCAGATGGGTTTAGATGGAGCCACTTGAAAAAATTGAAAGGATAAAGAGAGTGGTATGATTTGTCTTTGAGAAATCATTTTTAAAGACAATTAAAATTTTATTTTCCATGCATAGCACATTGGAACTATTAAAAATAATAATAACAAAAATAGGTGAAGTTAAACTATCTCCCAGAATGCAAATTAAGTTTTACCTAGAACAGTCAATGTTGTTGTGTCAGCATCTTTGCCTACATTATCCTTGGGGTTCTGGACTTGACACTCATATTTTTTGTTGTCTGCCGTTGTGATGGAGGACGGCTTAAGGTCAGCTTTCCCAGTACCACCATTAATGTTTGCTTCCACAGACACCCGACCCTCGTACTCTGGTTTAATTTCTGTGACTCCATTGGGATGATAGTGGGTGATTATCACATTCTGTAGAGAATCACAGCATTAGAGAAATATGTCGATTGATTTAAATGAAAAACAGACAGAGAGATACTTACTTCACCAACAATAGACCATGTGACAACGGCCAGTATTGGATTGCTGAGAGCGCTTTTAAATGTGCAGGGCAGTGTGATGTTGTCTCCTCTGGCGAACTCATACTGATCCTGGGGGATGTCAACCTGGATGGCAGCAACAGCTGACCACACTGTAATAAATTAAAAAGATGGTCACTCCATTGATCGTGTGATTATCTGTTGTTGGTTTGGAAGAAAGCAGCATTTTAATTTTATGTAAAAACAGCAACTCATAAAGACACCTCATTCTAACTGGGTAAAAATGGAACAAGGACACCATAAGATTTTGCAATGAACCACAGACGTCAAGCGACTGACAAAAATGAAATAAATGAATAAATAAACATTCATGTTAAAACTGTTTTTGTAACCCCTTTTATCTGTTTTCTAGTAAGGGGATGATAGCGAGTCTATATCAAGTCATTATCAAAATGTTTGTGGTTTGCATTACTGTTAAAAAAATTACATGGGAGATATCTATTTATTTAACTGTGTATCAAAAACACACATTCCTGTCAACAGACATTACAATCTACAATAACTCTTTTAAGAATTAATGAATGATAATATTTAATTTCCCTTTGGGATTACTAAATTATTTTTGAATTTGAATTTGAGCGGATGACATGAAAAAGTCACTCAAAGTCAATTTCTAATAAGAAAACCTACTTACCGAGACAAAACACGGCTGAGACAAAAGTCCTCTTCTCCATGGTAAAGTTTTATTTGCTCAAACTAATCTAAGGTGCTGTTGCTGTGCGCTGTGTTGCTGTGTTTTAGTGAACGTAACTCGTAACTCAAGTTTTCTGCTCCGTTTTCGGTTTGTGCACCCGCAGCGGGTGCACCGTTTGTCAGGAAACCACAGCACAATTCCTCATCCAACCGTACTTCTCCTCTATACCGCAACTTTTAATGCATTTTTTCTTTGCGTAAGCAACTCAAACTAAGGAACAAAGTCATCATAATGACAAAGTTAATATGTTTAAGCAATAACATATTAACTTGTGTGTTAGAAGAACTTTCGTGTTTGAAGTTCTTCCAATACAAAAGCTTTATTGTTCAATACAAGTTTCAACTTTATCTGAAAATTCTAAGAACGTGAAAAAACTTTTGCTGTGACGAATATGCAAATTATAATGATGTGAGCGTTGTTTTTTCTTTTGAACGGAACTGTTCGCTTCCGTAATTTTGCTTCTCTTGACTTGATCCTTACGATTTTGTCTGTGTAAGGTGTCTGACCGACAGGGGGCGCCCTAATTTCCTCTGTATCTCACGCAGCATCGTTTATGAGAAAATCCCAGGCTCTGCAATGAATTACTTATAAAAGGAGTTGTTGGATCCTCTCTATATAAAATGAACCCTCCATTTGTTTAAACTGTACTGAAGTCTGCAATAAAGAGCTAAGATATTGTCAATGGAGTTTGGTTCAGGTGAGGAAAGGAGTGTATGCCATTATTATATGTTGATTTTTCTTATTTGGCCTGTTCAAAAACACAATGTACTCCTAAGGTTTTAGGTAAATCTTTATTTGTTCATCATATGGTGCCATTATGCTGTTTTGTGTAACTGAAGAGAATGCAAGAAAGTGAAGCTATTAGGGCTGTTATGCTAAGTACACATCAATTCTTATATGTGCTGATAGGGAGCCAAGTGCCATAATGAAAAACTAAAAGTCATGGAGTATCAAATGGACTGTTTTGGGCAAAAATATACCAACTGGTGAAAATGGTTGTTATGAGAGCAAACATATTGGACTACATGACAACGGGTATGGCTAAAACCCAAATAAATTAACTTCTGATTGATGTGAAATATGCTGCTAAAGGCCTCACAGCTTCACACACTGACAATGAGGAGCGTTCACTGAAATCAGAATGAATTAAAAAAGAAACATTACATGATTCTACTTACTGGATTCTTTTATCATAAAAAGACAAAGGATCAAAACGAGGAACCACTTTTTAAACATGCATTACGAATTCAGATAATCACGTAATAAACTGTATATGAGAAAATGTTAAGCTCCATGGCAGATTATTTGATGGATGCACCCATCAGGCATCTATGGCTCATCCATGGATACTTTATTTTCTGCAGAAATCTTAACATGAGGGATTGATCTACGCCTTTAAAGCTCCAGCTGGGCTCTTTGATGACCACATGCTGTTCAGCAGGTGAAGGATGCAGGTTTACTGTCGCTGCTGGATCAATGGAGGCTTCAGTCTAGAGCAGAAAACACAACAAAACCACTGCCTGTTCCTAGAAATGGTGTAGCAGTTACTTTTTGTTCATGCTGCTGTTAGTTATGTTTGGTGTTTATTCTATCTTGTGATTGTTATTGTACAATTATCACATTATGTGAGTGTCTTTTGGAGGTACTCTGACTTCGGCTTCGCACCTTATCCTCCTTCGGCATTTGAACCCTCCATCGCCCCATCAGCGTTGTCCTGCTGGGGAGTCAATGTCCATGTTGGCTACAGGATTGAAGGAAAATGAGACGAGTCAAGAGTGCACATTTCAGTTTTTGCTAAAATTTTGCATTAATAACACAAATGGAAAAGCTGCTCTAAACTGTCTTTACGTGGATTGACTGCAAGAGAGATGTTGCAGGTGGCTGAAGAGATGTTGTTGCTTGATGTGCAGATGTAGAACCCAGAGGTCTCCTTGGAGATGTCAGAAAGAGAAAGGATGCCTCCTTCTGGAAAAACAAAGAGTTAGTTGCATTTTCTATGAAAGTATGCTACTTTTATACAAAAATATTTTGGTGATCAAAAGGAGCACTATTGCAAAAATGTAAATTGAGCTGCATGAAAAGTGTCCATTTGTCCTTATCTATGATTCATTCACCTTATGAATTTTTCTTACTTTCCACATACAGAAATATAAATTAAATTAAACACATTAATGTAGATCTAACTGTAAGCTTATTAAAAACAACTAATTTCTGGCCGACTGTGAAGGAAGAAGGAACTAAGAAGGAACATTCTTACAAAAACAATGCAACAGGAGCCAAACAGACGTGGGAATATGGGAATACATGCTAATATCATAGTTACGCAATAATGGTTCATTTTAAATATGTCAGCATTGTGGTAGAAGTGTAGTTTCATTCCATTCTCTAAAATATCTTCCTGATTCAGAAGAACAACGCCCATTGTAGACTAATAATTGTTAGATACAAAACTGATCAACTTTACTTCATGAGACTCATAAGATTTTTAGTGAATTAATATAATTAAACAGCCTTGGGAAAGTATAATAGGTTATATTTTCTTAAGGAACAGTACTTACGGTCAGTGCCTGAGGTCAGTGTACGTGGCGTGTTTTTCACATCACGACTTTCCCACTTGTAACTGAGAGGAGGAGACCCTTCCTCAGAATAACAGGTGAGGTTGATGTTTTGGCCGTACTCTGCTTTACCTTGAACCTTACAGATTGGTGGAGATGGACCCACTTAAGAAAAAAAAAAAGATGGAGAGAGCGGTCAGCTTTCTATTCTTTCGCTTTGAATAGCAATTGAAAAAAAGTTTTAGTACCTCAGCATTTGTCACTAGAACACTTAAAACAACCACAACGACAACATGTGCCGGTGGACCATCTCCAAGAAACCAAATTAACCCTTGTGCGTGCGAGGACAGAGTCAAACGTACAAGGACAAAGGCAAATAATACAAGTGTACAGGTGTGGGGTCAGTTGGACCCTATTTGTAAGCACAAGGGTTAAACATTACCTAGAACAGTCAATGTTGCTGCGTCAGCCGGTTTGCCCTCATCGTCATTGGGGATCAGGACAAGACACCGAATTTCATTGTTGTCTGCCATTGTGATGGAGGACAGTTTAAGGTCAGCTTTCCCAGTACCACCATTAATGTTTACGTCCACAGATACCCGACCCTGGTACTTTGGATTAATGTTTGTGACTCCAGCAGGATGATAGTGGGTGAGAATCACAGTCTGTTGAGAACGACAGCATTAGAGAAATATGTCCATTCATTCCATTTAGAAATAGACAGACATACTGACCTCACCAGCAGTCCATGAGATAATGGCCAGTTTTAGACTGCTTAGAGCACTTTGAAATTTGCAGGGCAGTGTGATGTTGTCCCCTCTGGCGAACTCATACTGATCTTGGGGGATGTCAACCTGGATGGCAGCAACAGCTGACCACACTGTAATAAATTTAACAAAAGGTCATACAAATAAGGGTCAGATCATATACAACTTTCAGTTTTAATAAGATAGAGATAAGCCAAATTACCAAAAAATCTAATTTGAGCTGATGTTAATTTTTTTTTCTTTGCTACCATATTAAGTCACGTTTACTTCATAGACCATTTATTCAACAAGGCAATTGCTTTACATCATGAAAACATTATACAGCAATGTAAAAAGAAAAAATAGTTTCTAATAGGTAAAATGCTGGCAGCTGCGGTTGCTAGAATTAAGAATTCTACCGTTTAAATACAGATTTTACCGTATTACTAAACATCTGGCAACCACAGCTGCTGGTATTTCGCAGCAAATTAGAGGCGTTTTCTTTTCTTTTGCAGTGCAGTTATGAAACAAGCAATAAATATAATATTTTGTCAAATGCCATCTTCAAAACATGGTTCAAAGGAACTCTGTGTTTCGGAATCTTTGCAGTTTTCTGGAAGTTTGTTCCAGATTTGTGGTGCATAGAAACAGCGGAATTATAAAATCTTTTAAAACAACTAAATGCTCCTTCAGTTAAAATGTTCATATATTTCTACATCCACCTCCAGCGGAGTCAGTGCTCCACCAGTCATGAATGTCACCACAGGTTTGATGAGTATTTAATGGGTTGCTTTTAAGGAAGAAGTTGTCGAAACGTACGAACACGTGGCCTTTTTTTTTTTTAATCAAACTTTGAATGATGTAAATATTATGTTGCAGCAACAACAATTTTTTTTCTTTCTTTTTAAAAATCTTACCAGTGGAGCAACTGTTTTCCCTGCACCATTATTTCTTGAGTTGCGCAAACAAATGCAATTATTCCTGCATCAAAACATGGATAAAATGCAACTACACTTAAAAGTTTAACAGAAACACTTACCGACACAGAAAAAAGCTATGACAGACGTCCTCTTCTCCATGTTAAAGGCTAGACTTTGATGAAGAGATCTAGTTTGTACGTGGCTGTTTTTTTTTCCTTTTTGTCCTTCAATCAGATCCTCCCGTTTCCAGCCTCAGACGCCCCTTCATTTCATTGGATCTTATCTACATGGTTTGGGGGTGTTCTAGAGCCACACATGTAAACACCTCTTTATTGTGCTCACGTAACGAAAGACAAAAACAAACTCAGTTGAACTTCCAGATCGATATTGTTCAAAATAATATATTTTAGGGCAACAACAAAGTAGCTCTCTGCCCCCTAGTGGCTTTTTTTTTTTTTAAACCTGCACATATAGATTGCATAAGGAAGGACAACATTACTGGCAGGGTTAAGGTTCAAGACATCATAGCAGTTTTCTCAGCTAGACTTGTTTTCATTTTCTGGGTTAGGGCTTTACCATCAGATTTTTTGTTTCAGTTGCATAATCACCTTTTTCCTCTATCCTCTACTTCAGTATTTAAAGTAGTCTTCATGGATTTCAAATGCACCATTAGCTCTGCTCTTGAAAGCTTTATTTTTTATTGCCAATTCAAAACAAAACAAAAAAATGTTTCCACTTCAGTTTAAAGAAGCCCAATCAGATTACAGGACACTGGTTCCTATTCTATTCCATATGCTGTTTATTTATTTGTTCATTTTTGTGGTGATTTTTGATCACCCTTTTCCTCTCCAGATTTTGCGATTGGATAGTTTTGCGTGGATCGTTGAGGTTTCAAGATCAATATACCAAATCAAAACCCAAGATCTAGAAAAAAAAACACATGTTGGTAGCAGGCAGGTGCAAAGTCAGGAGAGACAAAACTGGTCAGAACATCAGAAACAAAACTTTCACAACATCTTGACTGGACTGATGTAAAGGAAAAGGCGATCTGACAGGTAGTGCAAAAGGCCAGATGTTATTAATAACACCTTATTAGTAATATTAAGGGTTGGAGGAAGATGGAAGAGGCATGAAGAGAAGGTAGGTAAACAGCAGTCTCAACCCTTCTCATTTATTTTTTTGCAAGATTTAATGTATTACTTTTACTTACTGTTAATCTCACAGATCCCTATGGGGAAAAAAGTAATCCATTTTCTTTGAAAAAATATTATTTTGAAATTTTGACTCAACAATATGAAACAATTTGTTGAGAAGACCCTTAAACTTCTGAGACTGGACAAGTATGTGGTCATTTGCATAACAGCGAAGAAACACCTTTTACCTGTAAAGAAGCCTTTTGTTAGCAACGCTTTCTGATACTTCTGTCGAGGCTCGCTCTTGTCTTCAGTACAGCAGTGGTGCTTTTCTTGCAACATAAGGTTTACCTTCTTCACACCTCTCCGTTTGTACAAGAAGCCAAAACCAACGTCTCACTTAGCATCATTGGTTCATCTTCTATATACGCGTGTTTGTCTTTGTCCTGGACACATGCCTAATGAGGCGCAAACGCACCTTTTCACATGAATGCACATGTAAAAGTCTGACTGTCGTTATATAACGGAGGGCAAGCTCTGTCAAACTTTCTTTGCAGATGCATGTTTCTTGTTGAAATAATGTAGCATGTCAAGATGAGAACAAGATGTTTTTTTTTCTTCTTTCTTTTGTTTTCTGAAGTTACAAACTTATTACATAAACACAAAGCGAAGCCACAAAGCCATCTGCTTTTGGGAAAGATGTTGTTTGTCCTTTACTTGCAGCTATTTTCATCATGTTTTTATTCCCTCATAGTTTAACTTGTATTGTCATGTCCTTCCTGTTTTCTTTTTTCTGTGGACTTTAAATTATTTCTAATGTCCTCAATGTGAAAAAAAAAAAGATATGGTGAGATACTTTTTAAGGCTGCAGTTATCATGTAAGATTATTACCAATAATTTTCAAGTTTACAGAAAAATATTTAAGTGTTTTGTATTTTTTTCCCGTTTCTTTATATTTTCCTCTCTGTTTTTCCTTTTTAATTGGAAAACTACTACATTTTTTTCTGACCTTATTACTCTGTTTTTCTTTACCCAACCAACAGAACGGCTGACAATCTAAATCTTCGGCTCCACTCCCATCTCTCCACTTTCTTTTAATTCTTCTTGTGGCTTCTCTACTACACGTCGTACGTTTTTCTCTTTTTAACAACTGTACTGAGGAACAAAGTATTTACTGACTTAGCAGGTCTTGTGGATTTCCAGTGCTTGAACAAATCATCTCACCATCGAACATAACCTGTAATTTATTCCTTTGAGGACAACAACAGGGAGCCTGAGTACAATCAGTGGTTCTTGTATCAGAAGTGACACCAGAGGTTTTTATTTGTGAACTCATCGGTCGGAGAATTTCATCCGATCACCCGCTGCCATTGGTCTCTTTAACTCCTCAGATGTGTGCTAATTTCCGTCACGTCGTCCAAATGTGCCAACTCATTATAGATTCAACATGGCTTTATATTCTTTATCAGGAGATGTGATAAAGGTTAAATGAGCTCTGTTTTAATTTGTCTGCTCAAAGCCTCATGGCGTCTTTGCTTGATATTTACATGGCATTTGAAGCTTGAAGACAGACTTTTTTATGATAAAATTTATTAATTTCTTTGATTTTATTTGCGCTAAGCCAGAATCAGTTCGTTAAGGGTGATGAATTATCAAATTAGAGGGTTTTTTTCTCCCTCTCTTTAGTCTAGAAGTGTAAAATTTCCCCATTAATTTGCCTCTGCTTAACAGACAGACGTTTCTGGCTCTCCTGGCTTTATCATCTCACCTCAACATGACTGAAAAAGCAAACGAAAGGTAAGGTGGCGTTTTGCAAGCACTTACTGCAAATGCAATTTTCTTCCAGCTCTCTGTAAGCCATAGCAGGGGCGGATCTAGGAAAATATTTAAGGAGTGGCAAGAGGGGTGCAGGCATTTTTCCAGGGGTGGAAGTATATGCATTGTTTCAAAGTGAGCTTCATATTAGTATATTAATATTAGTAGCACCATTATTTGTTATTAGATATATCTAAATAAAGATTAGAAAACTGATTGATAAATTCTCCATGAAACAAATCTATAAACAGTTTTGTTTCTGTTAGTTCTGTCAAGATGCAAGAAGGGGCGAATTTCCATTTGTATTGGTTAATCGTTTTGTTTTAAATATACCGTAGGAGCCGTAGTTTGACGACTGTTATAAATATCACCACGTTTTGCGAACACAGGGGATTAGCTCAGTTTTTGTCGCTTGTTTTTAGGAATTGCAGCGGCTGCAGTGCGCCACAATAAAGGTACAATAAAGCTGATAAACAGGTGAAGAACCAAAGATAAAACCACTTCTGATTGTTTGCCAAGCCAAACATCCAATAAAAGTTCCACCAAGCCACTACTGAGGCACTGGGGTCAAGTTTCTGGACACAGGCAAAAGAAGGTTCAATTTCCAAACTTACTGATTGTTCTTGGTGATTTATTTTCCTCATTCACCAAACAATTACAGAGATCAAACTTTCATTTGTTCTCATGCTATCACTCTTGCTCTGGTAAACCATCAGCCCCAAACCCAAATGCCTTCTGGTCCTTCACCAGGCCCCTGCACTTATAGAAAGTGGACTGACCCATATTACTTCCTGTCTAAATTTAGAAAATAATAAAACAAAACAATAAATAAAATCAACAATTATCAACCTACAAATAAACTCTATAAATAATACTTTATTCTTAAATTTCTATTTTTTGTAACAAAATTCAAATGGATAAAGAAATAAAGAAAAAATAGCTCCAACAACTTCTATTCCGCCTTTTCTCGCTCTGTATGTCGGTATTACACACGACCCATTCCCATGGCAACCCACAAACAACAGCTCAAAGAGCAGATAGAGCAGAGATTACCGATCAGGGGAATCAACACCAAAAACAAACATTTCCCACACAAAAAAGTAGCAAAAACACTAAAACAGAACATCAAGTGTCTATATTGTGATTAAGTATTCGCCTCACTACCGTGGTGGTTGATTAACTGATTTAAACAGCTGCTCTACTGATGA